CATCCTTGCTGTCCTCATCCACTAACAGCTCTTTGAAAAGCTGACCTCCCCTGAGTTTATTATATTTCCCTCACCTGATCTGACCTCCCAATTCCATCTTCTCTCACCTATCCTCAACTGATCAGCAGTGACTGTTCCTCAATCTGCATCCCCAATTTTGACCTTGTATTTGTCTCCCACTTCCTAGTGGACAACCCCCCAGACACCTCAATTTTAGCCTGTTTAAGACAAATTTTCATCATCTCCCCAAACCAACTCTTCCGATTGGCTTCCCAACTCTCCCAATGCCCCAGAATCAAAGTTTTAATGGAAACTTAGAATTTCACCACTGCTCTGTTTTCAGGGCCAAGCCTTTGCTGAGGATACATCCTGTCACATCCAGCATGTTGGCACTGTGGCCACTTCCTGTCACCCTCTTTCTTAGTATCACCACCTCACACCCGGATGGCTACAGCCCCTCCTAATTGGTTTTCCCTAACTCCCGCACCCATCACCACAGCTGAGTTTTCTTAAAAGCCATGATTCAAGCATCATCAACCTACTTGAAAATCCTTGGCAGTTCCCTCTCTACATTCCACATAACATATGTGTCTAGTATGAAGCCTCTATACAATGTGGCTCCAACTCACCTTTCAGACTTTATCGCTTCCACTGCCTTTGCACACATGCCATATTTTCTAACAGCTGGTCAGCAATCATCTATTCCTAGGCATCTTGGTCCAGTTCCTTTGACATGCTGTCATACTGCTTCTGCTGCCCATCCTTGTGGGTCTACCAAGAAGGCCACCTCTTTGTGCTTTTCCTGACCCAGTGGAAGATTCCCCACCTCTGCCTTTCAAGAAGCCCTGGCTTATCACAGTGCATAAGGCCGCTCTCATAACAAAGATATCTACCACAAAAGGAAGTGCTGAGATATTCTATCATGGAGGTCTGATAGCCTGGGACAACAGAGCAATACTGTCATGGAACAAGGCTCTGAAGATCAACTAACACATGTTTTGTTGGGCCTATGGCATGTTTCTTTTAAAAAAAAAAAAGTTGAACCAGCAGCATTAAAAAAATCTGGGTATTTCACATAAAAATTCAGATTTGAGCATCTCTTGAAAAAGAAATGGCAGATCCCTCTTCCAAGGGGCCTCCATTGCCTACCCAGTCTAAATTAGGTCATCCTAATCACTTTATAACATGGACTTTTTATTTTCTTCATAGTGCCCTGCCTAAACTGTTCACTTATGTTATTTGTTCAGCTTATGTTTCCTCCCTCAAGAACTTAAAGTTCCCTAAAAGAGCAGAGACCTTGTATGTCCTGTTCAAAGCTATCCTCAACACTCTGTTCATCACAGCGGTACTTAAAAGCCACTCAGAGATGTGTTGAGTGGATGAATTGATGTGGCCTCCTTGGGCTCACATCCTTGACGGGCACTAATGGATTACAGCAGGGCCTAGGTAGCTGAATGAAGGATTCATTCATTTCAGCCTGGACCTCCTGGAGGCAGGCATGAGCTAACTAGGTTGCAAGTACCCACTCTTCCAAACCACACACATACAAAAGAAATATAGGTATCCATATCCAGAGGCTCTTTTTCCTCACCTGCTGGCTCCTGGAAGCATCTGGGCTGGCCACCCCTGATCTAACTGAACCCCAAAGGCTGTGTCTAGTACAACTTAGAAATCTAGCCAACTTGAGGTTGGCATTCAGGCATTCCACAAATACACAGTTCTAGGAGCAAGTAATACAGCATGAACACAACAAAAGTCCTGCCCTGGTCCTCATGCAGCTGACATTCTGCAGGGGGAATGGATGGGTGAGTATTCAGGGACATTTATAACCAAACATCATTGGCCTTCAGCCTGCCCAACCCTTCCTGGCCTCCAAGGCCCAGATCAAGGGCCACCTCCTCGGTGAAGCATTCCTGGTAAGACAGCCTTTACCAAGCCCCCTTGATGCTGACTTTTACTTACTGCTCTGCTCAATTGTGAGCTGTCCTACACTCACACCTAAAACTAGTTTTATTGTCATTCATCTCTAACTCCATGAGACCATAAAATTATATCTTTCCCATCATTTGTGTTCCCTGCAGCTCAAAAACTACAGCTGGCACTTGAATACTTGTTGACTAAGTGAAGATGGGGAGCCACTTTTCCCAAATCTGATAGGGGAACCTGAGTAGCCACTGAACCACCATGGTAGTTTCCAGGATGTACATTTTCCTCAGAAATCTATAAGTTGAAAGAAATGATAAAGTCAATGCTTAATTACTAGGTAATTTAACACATTACAAATTAAGACAAATAGGGATCAACTTTGGAATGGGAATGCAAAATACACATGAATTTGTGTGAGCTTGCTGGTAGGCAGCTTTGGACCTAGTTCTTACTGGCTGTGTAACCTTGAGTAAGTTAACAAACTGCCCTGACCCTCAGTTTCTGTATCTTTGAGAAGGGATGAGAGCAGTGTTAACAAAGTCTCTACCTGGTGAAACTGTTAAGGATTGAGATCATTAACGTGTATGAGTACTTCCTACAGTGCCTAGCACAGAAGCGCTCAAAACCTGTTAGCTGCCCTTGTTAAGTTCCCCAAAATCTCCCTCCCCTGTTTAACACATCCCTGTACTTAGGAGCACTTAGTGGAGAAGTCTGTGGTTAGACTTGGGGTTTCAACTAAGGGTCATGCCACATGGCATGGATGACCCCCCAAAAAAGAAAGCAAGGACAGGGCAAGAGTTGAAATATTACAAAAGCAAAATGGGAAATGGATACTTTTCAATTTGCTGCTGCCACTTAGCTCTTCCCCTAGGAGAGAACTGCTGCTGCCTTGGTTTCTTCATCTGTACAATGGGGATTAGCATTATACCCACGTGCAAGGCTGTAGTGAGATATTGGACCCGAAAGCACCTTGTAAACTCAAGAGCAAAATGCACGACTTACTGCTTAAGAATGGGCTTTGGACAATTTGAGGTGAGTGACCTTAGAAAAGTTAACATCTCCTGGTCTCAGTCTCCTGTAGAATAGGAGCAATAAGGATGTTTATCTCATGGGATTCTAAGTGAAACAATATAAAGTATGTGGGGAACATCAAAAGAGCCCAAATACTGACATTATCATTACTAACCTACTCACTGGACTCTCCCCTCACCCCTAGGGTCCGGTGAAAAGCCTCAAGTAGCGACACCACCCACTGGCTCAGGAATTGGGCTCTGTTACCAGTTGGGTGACCTTGGTTAAGTCGCTGATTCTCTCCAAACTTTGGGTTCTAGAGGTCACAAAATGAGAGAACTGCAAGAGAGGATCCCTGGGCTCCTACCAGACCTTCCACTCCGCTGTTAAGGTCGCCAAAACAAAGGCCACCCGCTCCCCAGCCTGTCCCCGAGGGGCCACGTGCTGCCTAACCCCCTCTGCAGAGCGACAGCAGGAGCGCCCGCGTCTCCATCCCGGAGAGATGCGTCAACTCCCCGCTGCCGCCGCCCGCTTCATCAGCGACTTGCTTCTGCAGCCTCTCACCGCCCAAAGTTTCCCTGAGCGCCCGGAGACCCCGCAGTGGGTCATCTCCGGGAAGACCAGGGGTTTGGGCGCAGGGCCTGGAGGCCCAGGCTCGGAATCTCCAAACCACTCCCGCGGGCGGCCGGGGAGTGACAGGTGCGACGCGGAGCCGCGGGCGGCGGGAGCGCGGGACCTCGGGCTGCGCGTGCAGGCGCGAGGGAGGCGGCGGCCGCATGCTCTCCTCAGGCCGCTCCTGTAAGGGCCTCGAGACGCCCCGGCTCCGCGTTCCGGCCCCACGACTCTCGCTCAGCTTCCCGGACACGCGGCGCCCGGAGCGGACCCCACGGCCTGCCGGAGCGGAGAGGCCGGGCGGGGATTCAAACCCGCAATGCCCGGAAGGGTTGGGGACCGCCGAGGCGACCGCACGAGCCGGTTCTCCGCGCGCGAGCTGTGCTGCCGAAGGGTGGGCGTGCGCGCATACGCGAGCCGCCGTAACCCCTTCCTCCCCGCACGCCCCCGCATTCCCACCCACCCATCACTCACCGTCGATGTCCCTCAGGGTCAGCTCTTCGCCCAGCTCGGTGAGCGTTTCCATGGTCTCCAGACCGCCCAGCTCGCCGCTCTCGTCCATCGCCAGGCTCGGCGCAGAGGCCCCTCCAGCCGTCCCGCTCAGGGAGACGCTGGGGCGGTGCCGCGGCCACCGCCCATGACACCCGACAGCCCCCGCCCGGTACCGCCTCACCGGCCGGTGCCATCCGCCGCCATGTTTGCACCGCTCGGGGAAGGGTGGGGCGGGATTCCCCGCCCCAACCCGCGCCCTCCGCGGCCCCGCCTCCGTGCCGCGCGCCCCCTTGTTTGTTGTCAATGGGACCAGGCTTTTTGTGGCCAATCGGCGTACGAAGCAGCGCGTGGGGTGATGGCGCGTCATCGATCAGCAGCTTAGATTTGCATAACGAGGCCCCTCCCCCGCAGCCTCCAAGCGAACACGGTGGGAAGCCTCCGGCTCCTCAGCCCTACCTCCTTCCCATAGTTTAAAGGGGCCGCTCCCTTTTCCGTTGGTTCGGCTCCAAGAGCTACTACAATCATCGGCCGGGAAATAAAGGGTTAAGACGCTCCACCCCCACGTCCGCAGGTCGCCCCCGAAGCAAGCAGAAAACACATTACATCATGTTCCCAGCTGCCCCGCCCTGCCTGCCTGGGAGAGCGGGAACAGTCAAACCTGGTCCCCCAAAACTGGAGCCTGGAGCAGTCTCGACCCCTGCAAAGGTGGAAACGGGTGTTCGACGTGGGCCGCTAGCTTTCCAAGGTCTGAGCCCATTTTACAATCCCTATGCCTTTGCACCTGCCGCAAACACATGCTTACTACGACAGTCATCCCACCTGCAGACCTTTAAAACGGGCAGTGCCCAGGCCCACCAGGAGCTTTTTGACAAAGTTCCGCGGGATTTCTGACGCGCAGCCCACCCGTGGATCCCCACTCCTTCCCCACCCCGCAGCTGGTCACGATGTAAACAAATATGCAAACTTCTGGGAATTTATTCAAGGAATGAAAGTGTGAGAGTGCTCAGAAAAGTACGCAAGTGTATGTGAAAACATTCATCACAAATTCTGTAACTGGGAAGCCCAGTAAGGGACCAGATGAGTAAATTACTGTCACACAATGGGATAAAGGTATCATTAAACATGTACATAAATGTGTTATCTATTGACAAAGATTTTTCACAATATTATTAAAAGTATGTGCTCTGTTTCTACAGCATCTTACGACGCTGATGGACAGTGACTGTAATGGAGATTGTGGGGGGTACTTGGTGAAAGGGGGAGCCTAGTAAACATAATGTTCTGCATGCAATTGTAGATTAATGATAACAAAAAAAGTATGTGCTCTGTCTGTGTGAGGCAACTGTTGCCTGGTGGCCAAGACGTAAGAGCAGACAGGCTATGTGTGGAGGCAGACATACCAATCCATTTATGCATGGTGCGAAATTGGGCTGGTTAAATAACTGTTCAAAGCCTCAGTTTTGTCATCTCTAAAATGGGGGCAGAATGGATTGCGCTCCTTCACAGTTGTGAAGGTTAAAATAGATAATTTATATATTCATTTGACAAAATTTATTGACTATGTGCCAGGCATGAAGAGACAGTTCTTGCCCTCTAAGAGCTTCCAGTCTAGTGAGGAAAACAGACATTAAACAAAAATAACAGACAATGGTACAAGTGATCAGGAGAAGGTAATGGGTGTGATGAAACTGTAACAAGGGACTGGACTTGGGAATGTCAGGGAAGGACTCTGACATTTAAGATGAAACATAAAATTATGATGAGAGAACTGCAGCTGGTGTAGCCAGGGGAATACATAACATGGATAAAGGCCTTGGGGCAGGAGGAGACTGCTTGCCAGCCAGCACTTGGCATAAGGTCTGGCATACTAAGTGACCTACAAGAACTCAACTATAATTGAAAAAAACAGGGATCTGTGTGCTCACATGGAGGGCAAAAAGGATGGAAGCACAGCTAAGTGTTATGGGAGTGGTGGGATTCAGGGTGAATTTGATTTCTTCTTGGTATTTCAGTGTTGTTTAAATTACTTTTTATAATGAACATAAGAAGTGCCTTATGTTTTTGGAAAAACAAGAATGTTCTCTTCATGGTTTACATGCAGGAGAGGTGGTGTTGACTATACCAGTCTCACCCTGAGAAAGAAAACCTCCCCTGGACCGGGCACAGAAAAACTCCCCTGGACAGTGCCGTCTTTACTCCAGTGCCTCAGCAATCCTCTGCAGAAGGCTGCCTGAGCACCAGGAGATCAAGGAAGTGGGTACCTTGCAGTGCCTCCCACTCTGCAGCTGTCCCCACAGCTCCCAGCTGACCTGCCCAGTCTGTGGTGCCTGGTCAAGTGGCTTCAGGGGGCACAAATGTTCAATAAAAACTACAGAAGAAAGGCACCTGCCCTGGACCCAGCCTTAGCAAATACTGACATTCTCTGTATCTCATCTAACTGAACATCTCTTCCAGCTGGCATACTGTCCTGGCCAAGAGAACAGAGGCTGGCTCAGGAGGTAGTGAGCCTCAAACAAGTCACTCCCCAGAACCTGAGTTCTTCATCTGAAAAGGAAGGGACTGAACTGGATGATCATTATGTCCAGACATCACTAGACTGGGCACTTACTACAGGTCATAGAAGACAACTCTGCATGTTTTTTCATTTACTACCTTTGACACCTCCCCTTTTAAGCTTCTACTCATGGTACCTGTCTCTCCTCCCTCCTCTGCCCATCTTTCAGGGTTCAGTTTAGGTGTCAGTTCCTCCAAGATAAAGCAAGAGTATGTATATGTACCCACAGTTTGACAGCTGGGGATGGGAAACAAGCTTGGTTTTGGATTAGCTGAAATGTAAGGACTAAGGGTTATCAGGTGATAATAGGGCAGATGACATCAGCAATGGGATCTTAGATACAGCTGCCAGGAAGAAATGAGCAGAGAGAAATAGCTAAAACATTCTTCATTTAGGGGCAGATGAGGAAAGGGCAATCAGGAAGATAGAGCAAACTCAGACCAAGAGCAGAGAACCAGAACAACCCGGTGGCCCAGAAGCCTGGGAGCATGACCTCAAGGAGCTGCCAGCAGCGGAAGATGTGGAGCTGGGAAAAGGAGGGAGGAGTGCTGTGGACCGGGTAGAGTCTGCCCCCAGGAGACATCTGGCAACGTCTGGAGATATTTTTGATAGTCACAGCTGGTAAGACTGCTACTGGCATCTAGTGGGTAGAGGCCAAGAATGCTGCTAAATAGCCTGTAACACACATGACCTCCCTCCTAGCCCTCCTCACATACACAACAAAGAATTATCTGGATCCAAAGGTAAATAGTGCCACTGCTGAAAAGCTGCCTTAGAGGATATAGGGAAATTCCCAGACTCTCCAGAGGTGCCTCAGATTGTACCTGGAAGCTCAGCAGACAGAAATGAATCCAAGACCACGCTGGAAGCACCACTAAAGATGTCACTGTTGACATTGTAAGGCACCCTCAGTGGCACTGGTCTAACCACTAGAACCTCCACTACTGGCTGCCCCTGGTAGCTGCAGCCATGGCTTTCCACTCTGGCTGGTGCATCTGGTTGATGAAGTGCTTCAGTCACAGAACTGAATCCTAGCTACAAGGAGGCTGGACAAGCGAAGGCCTCCTTTACAGCTCCTGATGGGGAGGTGGGCAGGCTCTGCCTGCAGTAAGACTCAAGGTGGACCTCTGGGGACAAGTACCCACAACCATCAACAATGGCAGTAAAGGAAGAGGGGGCAGAGTGGCTCCTTGCTCCTTTGAAAGTGTCAAATGGGAACAATTGGGTCCATATTAGGGGTGGGGAGGAAAGTGTCAACCAAAATGGAGGTCAAAGGTGTAGAAGGAATTGCTTAGGACGATGGAGAGGCCAGATGAGGCAGAGATAAAAAATAGGTTAAGAGTGGGCCCTCTCTTGGACCATGCATACAGTAGGTGCTCACAAATCTATGGGATGAATGAAGAACCATCAGAGAAGGGAACCTGTCACTCAGAAGCTAAGCCTCAGCTTCAAAGAAGTTTAGGGCTGCCAGGAGGTTCAATCATTATCAAGTTCATTTTGCTAATGAAACCGCAGCATAGGAAGGGCTGGGCCAGAGTCACTTGGCAAGTGTGATGGGCTGAGACAAGACTCCGGTCTCCTTCGGGCTCTGTCAGTAGTGGGGAATTGGGGTTTCTATGGATGGTCATGTGTCTTTCCCCTTTTAAGAGGCAGACTTGGCTTGGCCGGGTCAAAAAGACAGAGCTAGAATTCCCACCAGAGCTTCTTCCTCCTCTGCCTGGGAAGAGCATGACTGAGGGGCAGCTGTCCACTCAGGGCCTCATTCCTCCTGCAGCTTCCCTGCCCTGTAGCCACTGGCATCTGCTTGCATGCCTCCTGAGATAAGGAGCTTGCTGTCTAACCAATCAAGTTCATGGCAGCCCTGCCATTACAAAGCACAGCCTCCTACAGAGCTGTGGCCTGTCCCCCAACAGCTCCTACCCATGGACCAAGGGTCTCCCAGCATTGCCTGGGAAGACAAGTTGACTGTTCCCTATGCCTGTCCCCAGGTATCTGAGGACAAAGACCATTTTGCTACAAGGTCATCTTAGACTAAACACCTTCCCAGGACACTTTTGGTCCTTTCCCAACACTGGTCCTCCATGAAAGCAACACTGGTCCTCAGAAGCAAAGAAGCCTAAGCCAAGCTGATGCTTTGCGGCCCCACGAGGGCCTGGGGCTCCTCCTGATGAGGAGGAAACATCCTCTAAGGTGGTCTCTACATCTCTGAGGACCTCTGGTTCCCCCACCCAGGGCCCTCCACACCTGTACTTTGGAGGGGTTCATACCTCTTTGGGGTCCAAACCAGCCTCCGTTAGCCAGAGGTTTTGCTGGCTTTTATTGTGTCTCTGCAGAGGGCTGGGACCTGTGCCGGGCAGCTCAGGGACACAGCCAGGCCAGCAGCAGGCAAAGCGCTCCACACACGGTTGAGAGCTTGGTTCTGCTGTCTTCCCATGAAGGCAATCCTAACAGCCAGCCAGCAGTCCTAACCCAGGGAGGGTCCATCCCAGGACCCTCCTGCCTCCCCCGCATCTCCACGGTCTGCAGCGCAGCATCCTCTAAAGGCCCCTCAGCTGCTCCAGGGACATGGCAGGCACGGCTCCCCCTCACAGGGCCAGGCTCTCACGGCACCTCAGCCGTAATGCTGCCTCCAGGGTTATAACTCAGACTGGGATCTCGAGATCCGGGGGCCTTTTCTGATCTCTTTCCGCTTCTCCTCCTTCTTCCGGCGTTTTTCCTCTTCCCTCAGGGCCTTCTGGAAAGGGTCGGTGCTGGAAAGGAACTGAGGGAGAGCAGAGTGGTTTGGTTAGTCTGCCAGCAGAGAAGAGTTCGCTCTGTGCTAGGCTGCTGCAGGTTCCGGGCCAGGAAGGCTGCTTAGACACGCCCTGTCCTTGGAGCCCACAGGCAGAGATAGTTCAATGGGCTTCGAGAAGACTGCTGAGTGGGTTTGGAAAGATAAGCAGACACTTGTCAAGCAAATGGGGTGAAGAAAGAGGACATTCCAGGCAAAGGTACAGGTGCTAAGGTGTGACATTGCATGGGGCATCTGACAAACAATAAACAGACTCCTCCCAGGGTGAGGGGCAGAGTGACCAGGACAACCGAGCCCCCGGAGCCCTGGTCGCTACCCCTGGGAGGAGGGCAGAGTCAGCAGGTGTGCTGCTGCATCTAGGCAAGGCAGTGCACCGGAAGCAGGTGGATCAGGGTTCAGACTGGCAGACCTGAAAAAGAGGCGGGAGGCAGAAGAGCAGATGATGGTGCCCAGCTCGTGGTTTCCATAGCAGGTAGACGGAGGTGCCCAGTGAGGAGTCGGGAACACAGGTCGAGCCAGGTGGGAGGAGGACGAGGACCAGGACTTTGTTCTGGGAGTTCTTCAACTGCATTCCCCAGACCCTTTACTCTTCCCCCTCTGCTCTCTAGACCAGTCATCTCAACTCATGGCTTCCGTTAGCCTCATATGGTCAGTTACCTCTCAAATCTGCATCTCCCCATCTAAATGCCTGACACCTCCACTAGAATGTCCCTATTGTGCTCCAAAGTTGGAATGACTCCATCTCCCCCAAACCCAGTCCCCTGCCAGGGCCACTGTCGTCATGAACAGCACTGCCCCACACCTCAAGTCTGGTCAAGTAGGGTAGAAACTGAGGAGCCCCTGTCTCCACCCTCTTCCTCCACACTGAGTCTATTGCCCCAGCCTAGCTCATGTTAACCTGAGTCTCTCTCAATCCCTCCATTTACATCCCTCGTCTCCCCCACTGCCACCCCTGTCACCACCACCTCTCCCAAGAGATCTCTACATCCACTTTGGGTCCCACTCCACCATTCTCTTCACTGCAGTTACAGCTTTTCAAAATGCACACCTGACCTACCACACTCCTGTTTAAGCCCTCCCCGACGGCATCGCTCTCAGGACACTCCCACTGCATCATCTGCAGATCTGCCTGCCCACCTCTCCATCCCCGCTCACTCCCCGCCTCCTGGTTCTTGGATTCCCTGTTCCCACTGCCAGGCCTCCAAATGGGCTGCGGCCCTGAATTCTCCTTTGCCACACTGCCCCCCCTGAGCTGTGGAGGCCCTCAGGGACTGCCCTGACTCCCAGCTGGGGCTGCCTCTTCCTCTTTCCTTTCCTTCTCAGAGCTTCTCCCTTGCAACCACCTGCTTCATGCCTGTCACCCCCACTGGAAAGTACTCTCCACTGGGGCAGGAGGATCATGTCAGGTGTTGCCCACTGTGCCATTAGCCCCCAGCGCAGGGCCTGCCTGGCTTGTAGATGGCATTCAGTATGTATTTTTAAAATAAATGAATGAATCATGTTAAAGTATGAAATACAATAGTACCCAAAACTCAGGTAACTATGCTGAGAAATATGCCCACTTTATTTGTTCTTAGGGCCAATTTGACAAATGTTTTATCAAGGTAGATATTAAAAATAAACGAGGAGCTCCACCTTGTGGAGTAATCTACCATATTAGATTGAACCACGATCCTAGAAGATGGGATGAAATCAGAGAAATGTGGTCCAGAGAGGGTAAGTGATATACTCAAGTCACACAGCAAATGGGAGGCCCAACTGGGACTAGCCCTCAGGCCTCCCACCTCCCTGTCCTCACATTCTATGTCCTATCCCTATCAGTTAATTCTGATCCCCCTGGGAGGAGTGAGGAGCTGTGAGACCCCTCAGGCCATAGAGGACCCCACATCCTCTGGCTCTGGCCAGGGAAGGACAAGTCAAGAGACCCTGGCCTCTCTGGCCTCAGGTGGCTCAACCTCACCAGGGGAGCCCAAAGCTAGTAGGGTCAAAAGAGAAACTGCCTCTCCCTTTCCCAGATCCCTTCCCCTCTACGCCTGGCTAATGCCTACTTTAAATTCCTGATGCTAACCTCAAGCCAGCCCTGGGTGCTGCCTGGCAATCCAGGGCATTTCCCTGGTCTGCCCACTCTCCTGAGCCTCAACACCCTTCCCCTCCTCACTGCAGCCCATGACCTTGCTTTCCAATTCAGAGAATGCAAGCACTCAGAAGCCGACTTCCACAAGCTCCCACCACAACACCTGGCAACCCATTTGCTTCATGCCCAAGCTGCTCTTCTAGGGAAGGCTGACCCTTGCCCTGGACGCCAAGTCATCTCTCTGCCTCCATTCCTCAAGGATGAGGCTCCAGCAACTCTCCTGCCAGTCTCTCCTTTCTGACTAAAACGTCCCCTGGAACTCACAAGCCCTCCAACTATTCTCCCATTGGCCTGCGCCCATTAAAAACAAAATTCTTTAAAGAAGATTGTTTGTATTGCTGTGTCCACTTCTTTTCTTGTCGTTCTCTTGAAATCCAATCTTTTGTCCCCACCACTCTACTGAAACAGCCTTTAGGAAGATCTCTAATGGCCTGTCTCCACGTTGCTAAGCCCACTCGCCAATTCTCAGGACTCACCTTCCTTGACCTTCCAGCAGCGGAGGACAGACTGATCACTCCCTCCTTCCTATAACTCTCATATGTCCTCTAGGAAATGATTCTCTCTTGGCTTTGCTACTATCACAATGACTGTTCCCTTTTGGGGTTCTTTGCTCTCTAACTGGAGGCACGCCCCAGGCTTCAGTCCTCAGACCACTGCTCATCTGCCCCGACCCCCACCTTCCCTGGGGTATTGGGACACCTGTCTCACAGCTCTCAATAGTTTCTTCATTGGCAAGATCCTCACCTTTGTAGCTCCAGCTGCAACCTCTCCCCTGAAATCTGGAGCCACATATCCAATTGCCTTCTTCACACTTCCATTCAGATGCTTACCAGGTACAGAAACACTGATTCACCTGGGCCACTCAACAAGCCCTCAACCTGGTCGCACCACAGTCTGCCCATTTGAGGAAGTGCAGCCCCATTCTGCTACATGCTCAGGTCAAAAATCTTCCAGTTATCCTCAATGCAGCTCTCTCAATCTACATCTGCACCCTAGCACATCTTACTGGCTCCACCTTCAAAACAGAATCTTACCATTCCACCAGCCCTGCTATTGTCATCCTGGCTCAAGCCACCACCAGCAACTCAGTGGACAAGCACAGCAGCCTCCTGTATCGGCCCTGGTCCCCCAGACTATTCTCCACACAGCAGCCAGGCTAATCCTTTAAGGGGCAGGTCAGGGCCCATCACCCTGCTCTCCTTATGACAGAGTAAATGCCAAAGCCCCTGAGGAAACCCCCACGGGTCTGGGATCTGGCCTACAACTCTTGACTTCATCTCCTTGCACTCTCTACCTCTCCAAACATGCTTCCAACTCAGGGCCTTTCCACTTGCCCCTCCTTCTGCTTGGAATGTTCTTCCCCCAGAAACATGACTGGCTCCCTCCCCTCCATCAGGTCTTTCAGTAAGAACTTGTGTGTCCAAGCCACATGAAATAGCAGCTATACCCTCTGCTCCTCTAGTGGCTGGGAATCAGTGGATGCTAACTTAACGCTGAATGAATGCATGTGCTATGCCTCTGAGCCTTTGTGCAAACTAGTTCCTCTGCCCCAAGGTCTCCCCCTAGCTGGTCCTCCCGGCAGCTCTTATCCCATGGCCTCCTCTACCACCTACCTGCTGAAGCAGAGTCAGGCTCCCTCTCGAGGTCCCACAGCTCACCACACTTCTGTCTTCCATTGCTAGTGATCACTCTGGATTGGAACTGTGTTTCCCTGCTGCCTTCCCCAACAGACTTTGAGCATCTGAGAGCAGAGAGGCGGCCAGCTCCCTCTGGGCTGGACAGTGGCCAGCATACAGACTGATATGGCTCCTAGTGATGGGTACATAAGAAGTAGGAGAGGACTCCCAGAACACTCACTGGGATGGAGGGGGTACATGAGGGGAGCTCAGCAAACCTGGGCTGCTGCTGGTGGTCAGGTCCACACTGGATACCTAAAAGTGAGTAGAATTTTGGGACGGCCCCAGCCAAGGAGAAGGAAAGTGTGCAGCTGCTATGGTTATATCCATTCAGAGCACATTACAAATCTAAACTCTATCTGACCTGATGCCCATTCTCTATGGCCCACACTTTCACCCTCCTCCTGTGTGAAAGGCATTCATGACCTACAGGGCAAGGAGAGTCAGTATCACAGCAATAAAGCATCTCTGTGGGCATCCCACTGGGAAAGGCAATCTGCCCTGGCCTTGAGCGTCCCTGTACATTCTTGCTGGGCACACCGAGAACCCAGCCCTGACTTTCCTACCTGGGCCACTCAACAAGGTTGTGACCGCAGCAAGCAGCCATGGGGAATGTGTCGTCTTGGTTTTACATTAGGAGGTAGCAGCTTCCCTAGTGGGGAAAACCATGTCTGAAGCAGGCCACTGGCTCAACAGGTCCCTCAATCCAGATATTCCCCTAAATTCTCAAGCCTGGTCCACTGATTGTTCATCGTTCATCTAAATTAGGAGCTAACAGTGCTCTGCAGAGGAGCTGACACAGCCTGAACCCTGTCTTTGGAAAGGCCTACTTCCAAGGATGGTCCTTGGCTGGCATCTGGGAACTAGGATTTTGGGAGGAAATCACCATCCTAGTTGATGAGGGGCTCACTCTACCTGAACTATGCCAACGATGTGGTTTATGCTGAACACCTGATCTCCTTCGGGTCATATGGAATTTTGGTTTGCCTTAGGCAGAGGGTGCCTACATGACCAACCAGCACCCCCAGTAAAACCCCTGGGCACTGAGTCTTTAACAAGCTTCCCTGACAGACAACTTTTCACATGTGTCGTTACAACCTATTGCTGGGGGAGTTAAGTGTGTCCTGTGTGATCCCACTGGGCTAGGAAGCTTCTGCCTGGTTATCCCCTGGATTGCACCCCACATGCCTCTCCCTTTGCTGATTTTTCTCTGCATTCTTTTGCTGTAATAAATCATAGCTGTGAGTCCTCCTAATGAATCATCAAATCTGGGGGTGATCTTGGGGACTCTCGATGCAGGCATCTATGGGTAGCAGCAGCCATCCAGCCCCAGTGACAGTGCTAGAAGGCTAATTGCCATAAGACGAGTCAAACAATGGTATGACTTAAAAGCTGTCACCCTTGCCTAGATGATACTCTAACAACTAAGCATGTTACAGTCTTCCTGTTGTCAGTGTCCTAGCTATCTGGTCCATCACTCAGAAGATTAGAGACTGGCAGATCAAAGACAGCCATCTCTCTGTGGAGCCATAAACTATTGAAACAAACTGTGGTTGACAACTGAACAGTCTGAGTCACTCATTTAGATGCCCATAGTAAGGTCCATTCTTTGATGAGACCAGCCAGAATCAAAATGCTGACCAGGTCTACACTGCCCAGTTGACTGGCATTGTCGTCTAAATGCATCATTGTACTAGATGTCAACATACCCTCCAACACAGACAGGCACAAAGCAGTACTTCTATATTTCTGGTTTGACTACCTACTGTCCCTGGTTGGAATTGTATGGCCTGAGATCATTAGGATAATAACCACTCAGTTGAGTATGCTTCTTGCCAAGTATCCCTACAGAGGCCCATGAGGGACAAGATAGGAGATAAAGTGTGTGTGAAAGTTTTGTAAAAATGTCCTTGCCCCAGTGCCAAATGATTTCATTCACTTGTGGAATGTAACAACAAAGAAAAACTGAAGGAACAAAACAGCAGCAGACTCACAGACTCCAAGAAGGGACTAGTGGTTACCAAAGGGAAGGGGGTGGGGAGGGTGGGTAGAAAGGGATTAAGGAGCACTATAATTAGAAATCACAACATAGGGTGGTCACAGGGAAGGGAGTACAGCACAGCACAAAGAAGACAAGTCATGATGCTATAGCATCTTACTATGTTGATGGACAGTGACTACAATGGGGGGGGGGGGACTTGATAATATGGGTGAATGTTGAAACCACAATGTTGTTCATGTGGAACCTTCTTAAGATTGTTTATCAATGATACCTTAATTTTTAAAAAATGCCCTTGTCCCATTCACATCTGACCCTTTTCTGGATAAAAGGTCTAGGTGATGATTGGAGAAAAAGTGAAATCCTAGGTCACAGGATGTGACACACCAATTTTGTAGCAATAATCCTGGCATCTGAGGAGGGAACGCCTTAGATCCTTGGATATTCAGGGAACAATTAAATCTTTGTCCCTTAGATTCAGCACTGCCACTTGGCAAACAATCACAGAGTCTGCCCCAACCAAGTGGTAGCCGCAGTGGACAATCTGACCAGCTGTTGGATGTGTCATTCTCAGCCACGTGTTTAGAAAAACTCACATGGACACGATCAGTACTGAACTATTTGGCTCTGCATGATGCCATCAACGGCAGCTCCCACGGTGACCCTGTGCAGACACGCAGGCCCTTACAACCTTGTTTCAATCTGACAGATACAAATCCATCTGCTTCTCCTGACAGCTGAGAGGCCTTAGGTTATGGCAGGTAGGGTAAATGAGGTGGCAACTCTGGTAACATTGCCCTCAGGGGTCAGGCAAACATGATGGTGACCCAAATCAAGTGGTGATATGCGGGAGACAGTGGGCCATGCAACGTATCTGCACTGGGGATGAGGGGACACACTGTCCCCTTAATCACTGGCAATGATGTCAAAGATGGCAGGTCAGCCTAAACTCCTGTGTGGGTAGTAATGTGTAACAGATTGGCCTTATGCCACATTCCAATAGTCTAATATTAGACCTCTGGACTTGACACAGCTGGCTCTGTCTAGGGACAGGAGCATATGGATGAGACAGTACTGCAGGTTGGCCTCATCCTGCTGCTTAGAGTCCTGTTATGGCAGCCTTAAGCAAATGCAGTATGAAACAAATTGAACAAATTTGGTCCTAGCCTCGACTGATTGGATTAACCAGACTCAACAGCGTGTTCACATAGAGATTTGAGTTAAGCCAAGACATGTAGGGCTGAGGGGCAGACAGATGGCCTTGGCCCTGCACCTCCCGGCACATTCACTGGTACACCAAGAATGCAAAGCCCTGACCATTCTGTACTTGGGCCATTTCTCAGGCAGGGGGCAACCTGGAAGGATGAAGGGATGTCTGCCCCCAGTGAGCAGGTTTGCTTTTGCTCACTATAAAAGCAGGAAACTTTCCCAGCTTGGGGTTCCTTGGCTTGATGCAAACTGCATGCACAGCATCCCTGGGCCCCTGTGTTACCCCATGGGACCTGGGGAACAAGGGGAACCCACAAGACCAGGACAAGAGTCTGGATACCATTTCTGCTGTTATAAACTATGATGCCTCTGACCTATCAGCATTCATGAAACAGTAGGTTAGCTTGACAGCCCACAAGCAGGGTAAACTCCTAGGTCCCTCACAGACCCTGATGCCCCTCCCTATACCAGGGGAGAACCTGTGATTTGATAAGTCCAGTCCTCCAGCTTTCCTTCCTGACCCTCTGGCCCTGCCCTGTCACCTCTAATCCCCTCCTCCCCTTTACTATATGTGTCCCCATCTGTCATCTTACCCTGCAGCCTCCAGCCCTCAGAGCCCAACTCAGCCCCCTAGGATGACAGCATGTATAGGAATGCAGGACAGAGGCCTGGCTGACTGCTTAGAGGCTCAAGAGCAGAGAAGCACGGCCTGGCTCACCTGACATTCACCTGATTTGGGGGTCTCTTGTGCACTGGGATGAGTGTGGTCACAGCCTCTGACAGCCCACCATAGTTAGAGCCCACACCACATGGACAGGGAGCCTCAGCCTAAGACAGGAGCAGTAGCTTGCCCAAAGGCACTAGTAAATGTGATGGTACCTGAACCCAGACCCAGGAATGTCTGGGTTCAAGTACAAAGCCCTCACATTCCACCCTAGGTGACCCAGCCCCTGCAGGACCTGGCCTCCCATGGCCCAGCGGGGGCAGAGCAGACATGGCCACAGGCCCCCACAACCTCACCTCTGCGTGGTCTACTTTAAATGGATTCTGGAAGTCAGAGTCTTTCTCGCTGATCCCAAGCTCCTGGGCCATCTGCAGATGAGGAAAAGCTAGTCATCCTCCGCCTTCTCCTGCCTCCAGCTCACCCGCAGGCCACTCCCTCCATATTAGGACCCAGACCCGAGGCTTAGGCAGATGTGGGCCAGGGGATTGCCTTTAGAGACCCAGGTCAGCAGAAGACCCCTTGATACGGCACCTCAAGGAAGCCTGAGGCGTATCATAGAAAACATGGCCAAGGGCTGACATTCAGGCCCAACTGAAGGTTCACAGAGCACCACCAAACAGAGGGCTCCTGGGCCTCCTCCACCCCAGTCCTTACCAGGCTAAGGATGGGCGAGTGGGGCCCCTGGTCAAAGACGCCCGATTGGTTGCAGAAGCTGATGCCCCAGCGTATGAGAAGGTTCCAGTTGGAGTTTTGGTCAAAGTAGTGATGTACGATCTTCGGGAAGCGCAGCACCACATCACCGAAGAAGGCCGTGTTCTCCACCACTTGAGAGAAAGCTGCCAAGAGGACCCTGATGAGAGGCCAGGGAAGATGCCTTCCTACTGCCCACCTGGCCAGTCCCAGGAACCCTCCAGAGAACAGAGGCAAGCCCTCGAATGAGAGAAGGAAACAGTGTCTGCTATCCACAGGCGCTGACCACATGCGCAGTGCAAGCTAAGGCCTTCACACCCACCAGATCACTCAATCCACAAAACCGCCTCTAGAGGAAGATGTGGCTGCTGTTCCCATATCATAGACGGAAAACTGAAGCTCACATGGCTAATGAATGGTGAATCTGGGCCACAAACCCAGTTCTGTCTGATTCCAAGGGCCATGCTTTCCCCTGTAACTCATGGTTAGAAGACTCATTTGTTAAGGGAATCAGAGAGGTGGTGTCATTCTGCACATGAAGCCATATGCATCACATGAGGCTTGGCTGGGTCTGACTCTCCCAGCTTGGTATCCATATGTCCAGAGGCAGGCCCTGGTGTTAACCCAACTACAGTGCCTGTGAGAGGTCAGGTCTGTTAGAAAGGCCAAGGAACACATTAGAGTTTGTTTTGTTTTTTTAAAAATATCTCTCCAATTTTATTTTAAATGTTTCTGAAGTTCTTATTTTGAAATAATTTTAGACTTCCATAATGCATCATAAAATTCCTTCACTCAGCTTCCTCTAATGCTATTATCTTACATAACCATCATACAACTATACAAACCAGGACAGATACTGATCTATAGACCTTACTTGAATTTCAAGTTTTCCTGCTAATGTCCTTCCTCTGGTCATTAGGTCAGTTTAGACTTTTATGGTGGCAGATCCCTCTGACTCACGAAGAATAGGCTAGCATGAAAAATAACTGCATACAGCCTTAGTTGCAGCCCCTGCTTGAGCCACCCCTGCAGAGAAGTCCCACGCAACCCTCACCCACACTGGCCACACCACACAGAGAGGTAAGCGGGCTCCTCCAAAGATATGCCAGGCTGGGTCTGAGTCAATTAGAGCAGGTACCCCTGGGCTTCAGAACAATCCTGAACCTCAAAGAACTCAGGAGTTAGCTTGGCCTACAGGTAAGAGCCAGGGCAAACCACTTGTCCTCTTTTATCTGGAAAATGGAGGTCATGGTACCTTCCACAAGAGTTACAGGGGAGATTAGAGATGACATCTGAATCCACCATTCAGTCTGTAAGGGCTACTTCCTTACTCTCTCTGACAGTGTTATCTAGCAAACTTAATTGTTAGAATATAACCAGTTAATGGGGGGGGGGGGCAATTACCACTGCGAGAAATTCTTTGAAGGGATGAAGGCACACAGAACATTCTTCCATCTTATTTACCTATGTTTTTCCCATCTTGTCTCAAAAAGGACTTAAGGGGGTTCAGGCTTTTGGAGCAAGTGAAGAGCACTGGTACCCACCCAGACTCCCAGGCACTTCAACGGGCCTCAGGTTTTTCTCCTGCAAATGGAACAACCCTTGTTTTCTCTACCAGAAGGGTCAGGTGGTGAAAAAGACAAGGGTCCTGGAGTGGTAGTGGGCAGAGGCTCCTCGCTGGTTCCCCTGCCCCAAACACAGGACAGCATGAAGGAATACATCTGTATCAGGGGCACAGAAAGTGGCTCTAAGGCCCAGAAATACTCAGAGAAACATAGATTAAGTGCCCATACACCCAAGGAGTCCACTCTGAAGGCGCCACAAGAGGATACTTTCAAAAAGAAAAGAAAAAGGGTGACAAGAACCGGAGGGAAGCAGTAGCTAGAGAAGATTCAGATGGTTGGGAGGAATAGAGGGTGAGGTTGGGAAGACCATACCATCCTTCAATTTCTCATCCTGGGGAAAGGGCCCATCTGGGAGCACGTCTGAGGCAATGAGCACTGTCCGGGAGTCTTCCAGCACCTGAGGGAACCCACTTGGGCTGAGTGGCTTTGCAGAGCCCTTCAGAGATGGCCCCACTTACTTTAACCCTACTTCAAATCTTTTGTGCATGCAGTTCCCCTCTCATGGAACACCATCCCCAGGGAATTCTACCTATCTATCAGTGCCCAGATCAGGGCTTGGCCCTGTCATAAGCTGTCCCTGCCCATACACACCTTAAAGAGCCCCTTGAGCATGACATCAAGGATCTTATACTGCTGGTGGACATCGTTCATCTGTGCCAGGTTCTTCAGTGCCAACAGCTGCTCCCGCCTCTTCACCTCAAACATCTTCTTGTCTGTGCAGCATTAGGTTAAGGGGCTGGCTCCCACACCCACCCCCTGCCTGGATAACCCAGTGGTCCCAACCCAGACGGCCCATTCCTGACCAGCAAGTATCTGGAAGGGTCATAGATGACCATGGCTGGGACCCCCCTCCCTGCCCTGCCCCTCTCAAAGAGTTTGAAAGGAACAAACTCTTTGAGAAGCATATGCATCCTACACTGTATCAATCCTCCATTTCACAGAGGATTCCATATCCAACAGCCTGAATACAAGCTTCAGGCCCTGGCTCCCGTCCTCCCTTCCCTTCCCTTTGGGCTTCCTGCCATCTTCCACAATCATTCACTGTTCTCAGAACCCCCACTCTTTCTACTCACATTGCACACTCTGCCTGGGATGCCCCAACCCTTCCTCTGAGTTTCTAAGCTTTTACAACCTGGTTCAAAAGCTACGGCACAGTGCTTCTCCCCGCCCCTTCCCATGTTCTATTAGAGTGCTGATCACAGAGTACAAGGTGAGGCCTGTGAATGCCTCACAGCCCTGACTCATTTTGGGTTCCCAAGGCCTGGCCCAGAGTAGGTGGCTCAGTATGCCAGGACCTGAATTCCTCACCAGGTCTCCCTCACAAGCTGCCAGGCACACATACAATCCTCAGAGCCCTTGTGCTCTGAGATACAGGCCTTGCCTTCTCCACTTAACATATGGGGAAACTGAAGATGAGAACTGTCTTGATCAAGGTTTGGTTAGAGCACCTTGCCTTTCCCCTCTACTCAAATTGCCTGGGTCTACTCCATCCCTGGAATCTAAGCGGTTGTAGGTAGGTACATAGACACTTCAATTATATATTCCCTCAGAAACAGGTCCTGAACCCCACCTCCAACTCCAAAGGATACAGATCTCCAGGCTTGGGTCCAGGGAGGTCCTGAGAGTGCCTGTGACTCCTGTCCCAGACAGTAGCAGGACAAAGAGAAAGGCCAGGAACTGAAGAAGGTCCATATCCAAGACCCTGGAGCTAAGAGAGTAACCCCTACAGAGGAGATGAGATCCAGAGCTTGGTGTTACATAAACACAGAGTGCAGGTGAACAGCAAATTACTAACATGGCACTGCCTCCAATACCAAGCATTCAGTTTGGTAAAGCCCTGGAGCCCCAGTCCCTAGCCGAGAGCCATGACCAGCAGACAATGATGGCACAGTAAAGGAAGGAAAGAAGGTAAGTGGTGGCAATGCAGGGATGCTTAGAGCATAAAAGGTTGGTGTGTAGAACTCTGGGCTGGAGCCCTGGCTCTGACCCTGACTGTGGGACCCCGGGAAATTGCTCAGCCTCTCTGAGCCTCAGCTTTCTCACCTGTAAAACAAGGATAAGGAAGTCACCTCCCTACTACAGGGTGAGGAACTGTGCCTGGGAGCGGGGGGATGGTCAGTAACATTCTTTCACAACTTTCTCCTATCCTGGACTCCCAGAAAGGTATCTGGTTAGGGAGGCTCAGGCAGCCAGTGGGAATGTGAAACTTCTGGAGTTTCCTTCCTTCCCTGATTTCTGTCATCAGAAGAGGGAGGGAGGCAGGGCAATCTTAGGGTAAGAGGGCTACTACTCACTCATTCTGGAACCACAAACACCGTAAGCAACACCTGTTTCTATTCAGGCAACAGGCACTGTTCTACAGCTGGGAATACAGCAGTGAATGAGAGAGACAATGGTACCTAGCAGAGGTAAGATAACCAATAAACTTGTAAAACGAGCACAGGAGGATGAGAGAGTTGGTGGTCAGAGGAGGCTTCAAGTGACAGCTGCCCAATTTTACCAATGTGGAAACCAATGCACAGAAAAGTGAGGTGACTTCCCAAAGTCTCTCAGCTACTCCCAGGCTAAACCAAGAGCCTCACCAAGCACAGGCTACCTCAAAGCTGCCCCTGATCAGTTACTGACAAAGAGAGCCCGCAGAGGTCATTCAGAGAATGCAGATCAGACACCTGAAGCCTAGAGAACGGGAGTAGTAGTCTAAGTTCACCCAGGACCCCCTACCTTCCAATGTCACGCTCCAGGCACAAGGGAACCAGAACCAGGGTAGGGCAGAACTTGTGGTCAGGGAGATATGACAGCCGTTAATGAGCGAATAAGACGAGTAGGAAAGGAAAGCCGAAAAGGCAGAGCGCGTGGGACGAACCCTGCTCTCTGTACCATTACTCCACTTAATCTGGTCTCTCACTCCCGCTCCCCGCCCTGTTTGTCCCCGGAGATCTCCCTCGACTCTGAAGCCATCCTGCAAGAGTGGCGGACTCTGAGCCCACCCGAACTCGTGGCCCGGGTTGCTGCCCCGAGCCTTTGGGGCTCCCGGAGGAGCGAGCGAGTCTCTCCAACGAAGAGGCCTCCGGGGCCGCGATCTCCCCCCGAGCCCCAGCAACTGGGTGTGGGAGGCTTCCGCCCCCGGCCCCACCTACCAGGCCAGGCGGCGCGGAGGAGCGGGCGACCACGTCCTCGGCGTGCAGAGCGACTCCAGGGTCCGGCGGAACGACCAGCAAACGCGCTGAAGCAGAGTACCCGCGAGCGCCGCGCACAGACCGCCGAATACCACCCCGCCCACCGCTCCGCTCGCGACCAACCAGCGTGGGCCGCGACGGACGCTCCGCTAACCTCACTTCCGGCTCCGCCCCGAGTCCGCTTGCGGTAGTTGGCGGCTCGTCTTACCCACACTACGCAACTGTTCCGGCGCCTGGCGCTCTGCTGCCTGGCTGAAGGGAACTAAGTCTGCGAGGGGTCTTTGCCTAACTTAAAGGGCGCGTCTGCAAAACGGGGTCCTGTCCCTTGCCCGGCCTTCCACGCAACTGTTTCGTCAGTTGTCTTTTAAACTGCAGGTGGATAGATCATTTAGTGGATCGTAACTAGAACTTTTTTTTCCAAAGAAACTTGAAGTGCGGAGTGGATCTTCCCCCTCCATTCCACCAGCTTATAAACCAAGTAGTCGGGGGCCCCCACTGTCCATTCATTAGTTCAGCCCAGTGTTGTGCAGGGTCCCTACTGCCAGACTCAAGGAGGAAGGGTGACTGTCCAGTTACAGATACCCAGGTTGGGGGACCCTCGGCGGGTGGGAAGGGAGCTGGAAGCCCCTGAGAGTTGAATTCAGAATGGTCGGGCATAGTTGTGGACAGCAGACATAAAAGAACTGCACACGTGGGTATACAAATTTTCTGGGAAGGGCTGAGGGAAAGAAACACAGAGAACTTACTTTAGCCAGAGAAAGGCTGAGCTGGGGCAGTTTCTCAGTAAAGCTGAGGATTTGACCTCAGCTTTCTTGCCGGAAACTGTACCTTCACATAAGATGAGGCAGAGGTAAAGTGCCTCTTAAAGCGCTGGGATCACAGCAGTACCAAACAGGTCATTCTCTGCCCTTCCAGCCCCAAGGATGGCCTGACTGGTGTTTCCTGGGTACAACAGGCACCCAGCTGGTGTTTCTTATGTGTTACCAGAACAAATCATACCCCTTTCTCCCTGAGGCCCTCCATCCCTTGCTGAAGCGATGGCCATCCAACGGGCTAAAGAACCAGCCCAAAGAAGCCAAGATGAGTGAGTTGAGGGTGAATGTTTTTGGAGAGCCCAGAGACATGAGTGTATCATTTTACTTCCTGATTCCATTTCAACAGTGGAGTAAATGGCTCCAGATGCCACCCATTTCCCCAGCAATTCTGTCCTGACTTTATCTTCTCCAGGTCTCAGTTCCCTCCACTTCTGTGCCTTCAAGTCCTGAGATTTAGTCTCTGATGTGCGATAGGGATACAGCCACCCCTCCTACGCAGCTGGCAGCAAAACACGATAGGAAAACAACAGAGGTGGGGCTAGTCATGGGAGAACCACACTTCCAGAGCCCAAAAGGGCAAAAACGGGCAAGAACACAGGTGCTAAGAATAGTGGGCTGGATTCTAAAATTAGGACTTGAACACCTAGGTTAAGGAACCATACCAGGGAAGTGGGAAGGGAGGGAACCAGGGAGGCAGCTGGTGGGGAAGCACAGGAAGTACCCCCATGCACACACATACCCCTCCAGAGTGTCTCTGGAGCACCACACCCCCTCCCAATGGCCTCTGATCACTGCCCACAGACCCAGGCTTTCTCAGAGACATGCGAGTTACCCAGAAACCCCCAACACTGGCCATACCAGCTGGGCTTGGGCAACTTTCTTCAAGCTTGGGGAAGAACTACCTCCTTCTTGAGTTTGGTAATGTGGCTTTGGAGACAGACCAATCTGGGATCTAATCTTGATGCTATCACTGTGTGAGCCTGGGCACTTCATTTAACTTCTCTGGTCTAAATTACACTATGTTAACTCTCCTACTGCTGCGAGGATTAGATATAGTGCATGTAATAGGCCTGTCCTTGGCAGGAGCTTAATAAGCAGAACAAGTCATTGTTATTACTTTCACTATTAATTATTCTCACTGACTTGCTTGCTTTGGAGGGTGGGGCTGTAAACAGTGCACCTGTCCATCCTGAAACATGATACCACAGCCACCCATAGTCTGGGTGACCTTCCCAAGGCCAAGACTCCCAAATGCAAGAAAGGATACAGCATGTCCTGCAGGGGTGGCTGGGCTGAGGAAGCCCTGAGGGAAAGGCCCTCCAAGGAGGCCTGCAGGGTCTGGACTGTGGTGTGATCAACCAGGAGGCCTGTGCTCTGGACCTGAAGGGAGAAAAGGGCAGGGAAGATGGGCTTTCTCAGTGCCCACTCCATACAGGCCCTCTACCCTCCACACCCTGCCTTCCTGACCTCCCACTGGCTGCTGTGGCCAGAGTGCCCCAGAGAGGACAGTGTGTAGGGTCTAGCCTCGCATTTTGGTTACACAGCATCTCCTTTCTACCCACCTGCAGGAAGAAGCCACGCAGAGCCTGCAGTGTGGTGTTTGAGAGAGCAGAGAGGTCAGCTGAAGCCGCGCCTTGCAGAACATAACCCACCTCTTCACGAGAGAGGACACAGCTGCTCTGGAACCGCACAAACTGGACCATGGAGAGAAGCCCCAAACACAGTGGTTTGGCCTCTCCTTTATTCACAGACATTTCCTGTGCCCCTGCCATGCTCAGCACAGAGCTGGGGACAGATCGGAAGCCCACAGATTGCTGCCTCCAAGGAGCTCAGAGTTGGTGGGCGGGGGTGGGGTTGTGTCATGGGAGAGCGGGCAAATGAGGTAGACTGCAAATCCCTGAGAGACTTGGCCCAGTACTCTCCCACACCCCTCAGTCTTGCACCTCACACTCATGGCCAAATAAGGGATTGTGTTGTGTTTACCCAGACACACCACCATGTGCTCATGTACCTGCTGTGCTCACTTTACTACCTGGAATACTTTTCCTCTTTGCTAATCCTTCAAGCCTCAAATAAAAAGTCACCTTCCTGCTGAATGTTCTTCCATTTTACTGAAGAAATAAAACACTAATTGAGTACTTACTTAATTCTTCTTCACATTTCCCTCCTAGCTCTGGCAGAAGCAATTACTCTTTTTTCTATTCCCACACCAAACACTGATGTATTCATTGATGCACTTCTCTGTCATTCACAGGCTTGTTTATTCAGTGGGCACTTATTGTGTGCCAGGCACTTAGTCTATCCTCTACCACTAATAACATCTTTGTTTAATGGTAAGTTTCCTTGTCTATCTCCTTCTCTGTAGACTGAGGGACCCTTAAAGGCAGAGAGCATTTGGCTCATTGACATTTTTAGGACTTAGCAAAGGATCTGGCTGGCGGTGGGCAGGCCCTGGTCAGTGTAAGCATTTAGAGGAATCCTCTGAGCAGGGCACTTATAGGGGGCAGGCCTGCCTAACCCCTTGACCTTCAAGGATGAGGGTTGAATTAGGATAAAAGTAAGGTGTCCCTGGCCTCAGGATCACCCAGCTCTGGCATTTTTCAGAGCACAAGCCCCTCCTTTCTGCACTTACCAGGGTCATGAGCCTCAAGATCTCAGGTCTGAGGAAGGAATTCTCTCCAGCATCCAGGAGGGTAAACAGCAAAAAACGATTCCAGGGCTGGGAGACTACATGGAGGGCTACAGGAAACACCAGTTACCCTGGGTTGTTGATGCTATTTTTCCAAAAGCCTTAGAACATTGCTAAAGAGGACTTTCTCCTATTGACTCAAAAAAGAGCTGCTCAGCTAGAGACAGAGCAGTAGACAAGCTGACTGCAGGAAGTTTCTTTCTTCCTGGGCTTCTACCCACCTATGCTGCCTGGCTCAGGGAAACCACATACCCCACTGTGATAGGTGGCAGGCAACAAAAAGTGTTCTGCCACATAAGAGCTTTGTGACCTTGGCTAGGCAAGATGCTTGACCTCTCTGACCCTCATCAGTATAATGGGCATGACAGTGCCTTTGTGGTGTTATTAAAAGAATTAAACAAAATCAGTGTGAATCACTGAATAGGGGATGGGGGTCTGGGGTGGAAGGGTGGCAGGGGCTGGCCCCCTACAATCTCCCCCAAAGGAACATCAGAGAACAAGGAAGGTTTCTACCGATGTCTGGGCTTCGGGCATGCAGGTAGTCAAGCAAGGCCTCCAGGCAGCCAACACAGGCATGGGACAAAAGAGGGTCCTTCTGCAAACAAACAAAAAAACCACCACAGAAGTTCATGTCAGGTTTTGCTACCGATGAGTTTTGGTGCCAACCAAGAAAAAAACATTTGGTTTTCAGAATCATTTGGATTTCAGAATTTCAGATTTGGGATTGTGGCCCTGAAGATAATCATTCAGGGAATGCTTTGTTTCAGAAGAAGGAGAGAGATAGGCCCAGGGCCCCACTGAGAAATTCACAGATTATAGGTTCTGGAAGAGCCCCACAGTTTAAGCCAATGGGTTTCAATCTTTTTTGAAAGCACTAGAAACAAACAAAATTTTCATCAAACAAAATTTTATGCTTTAATACACATATCAAAAAATATCATCATCATCAGTCATCAGGGAAATTAAAATTAAAATCACCATGAGATACCGTTATATATGCAACAATTAAAATTAAAAAGAATGGCAGAACCAAATGTTGGCCAGAATGTGAAGCAACTAGAACTCTCATAGACTTCCAGTGGGGAGGTAAAATAGTGCAGACACTTTGAAATTATTTTGATGGTTTCTTATAAAGAAAACCATTCCTCATGCTATTCTTTATAAAGTTAAACAGACACATACCATATGCGATAGGCAGAAGTTTAAGATGGTCCCATGAACTTTGCTCCCAGAATTGTGAGATAATAAATGGGTGTGTTAAATCATTGAGTTAGTGGTAACTTGTTACACAGCAATAGAAAACTAATAACTTCATGTGACCCACCAATCCCACCCCTAGGTATTTCCAAGAGAAATTAAAACATATATCCACACAAAGACTGTACTTTAGTATTAGGAGAAACTTTATTCATAATAGCCAAAAACCTAGAAGTCTCAAATATCTATCAATAGGTGAATGGATAAACTAATTGTCATATAGCCATATACTGGATTACTACTCACCAGTAAAGAGATGAAGTACTGGTCATACAACAATATGAACGAATATGGAAAGCATTAAGCAAGAGTGAAAAAAGCTAAACACACAAGACCACATATTGTAGGATCTCATTTATATGAAATTCTAGAAATGCTAAAATTATAGTAACAGAAGGCAGTGTTTGCTGAGGGACAGGGATGAAGAGAAGGGACTGACTACAAAGGGACACAAGGGAACTTTCTGGGGAGGTGGAATCTACATCATGATTGTGATGGTGTTTACAAAACTGTATATACTTGTCCAAACTCATTATACAGTTAAAATAGGTGAGTTTTATTGCATGTAAGTTATATCTCAATAAAAATGATTTTTTAAAATTTAAAAACCAACAAACAAAGAACTCCTATGCTCTCCTTATGCTATTCTTTGCAAGGCAGCAATGGAGGTTGAGTGTGAGGCAGACTTGGGTTTGGATTCTTGCTGAGTCACCTACCATCCATATGATCCTGGCCAAAGTTACTTAAACTTGCTGAGCAGGGATAAAGAGACTATCTGGGTTGCTGAGAGGGTTAGATGAGAACTGGATATAGAGTGTATAACGAGTACTTGGCGCAAACACCAAACGGTAACTCCCTTAGTGAAATGCATAATGGGAAACACTCCCCCTCTTGAACAACCCCCGAGAGGCCTCCACAGAAGCCCTCAGGCTCCAAGGCCCACAGCTTGACGTGGCTGGGCTAATCCACTCACCTACAGCTGAGAAAATGAGGCCCAGAGAGAGACCTAAGGACTCCTGGGTAGTGGTGCATAGCAGGTGTACAACAAATCCCTAGGCCATGTGCCCTTTTTCCTTCAATCTAAAACTAACAACGAGGGAGCCACTTCCAGCCTCTTCCCAGGTACCCAGGATCATACAGTCATGGGTCAGCGTGTCTCAGCTTCCCTAACCTGGTAAGGAGATATGGCTCTAGTGTCAGTTTCTCACCCTGCATCCTCATACAACCAGCAAGGGGTCCTGCATGGTGGGTGAGGAGCTGGGGCCACTGGGGTCTAGGAAACCCAGGGACTACCCTCAGGTAACAATGGCTCTTGTTCACAAGATGCACTTCTTGGGACACTGAAAGAACATGGATTTTGTAGCCAATATAATTCACAAACCTAAAATTTGCCCTTGTAATTTCAGTGGTTTTTAGTATAGTCATAGAGTTATACAGCTACATAATTCCAGAATATTTTCATCATTCCAAAAGGGAACCCCATACTCATTAGCAGTCCCCTAGTCCTAGGTAACCACTAATGTACTTTCTATCTCTATAGACTTGCCTATTCTGGACATTGCATATAATATGTGGCCTTTTGTGTCTGGTTTCTTTCACTGAGCATGTTTTCAAGGTTTGTGCAGCATGTCAGAATTTTGTTACTTTTTGCAGCTAAATAGTATTCATTTATTTATTCACTTATACTATACTAAATAGTATTCAATTGTATGGATATACAACTAATTTATCCATTCATCAGTTGAGGGACATTGGGTTGTTTGTATTTTTGAGCGATTATGAATAGTACTGCTATGAACATTTTTAGACAAGTTTTTATATAGACAAATGCTTTCAATGATATTGGGCACATTCCTGGTAGCAGAAGTTGGGTACTGTAATTCTGTATTTAACTCTTTCAAGTACTTCCAGGCTGTTTTCCAAGTAGCTACACCATTTTACATTCCCACCACCAATAATGTATGAGGGTTCCAATTATTCCACATCCTCATCAGCACTTGGTATTGTCTGCCTCTTAGTGTTTAGCTGTTGGGCTTTATAAGGCTTTTCATCACTCAGGACAGTTCAAATCAACCTCTCCTGTGCAGCCTTCCCTGACTCAAATAATAGGTCATTTTGGCATTAGTTATAATTATTTGTGCAATTTCTGTGAGCGTTTAAATGCTGGAACCATGTCATGTTCATCTTGGTGTCCTCATTCATTCACTAAACAAACACTGCTGGATGCCAGTTCTGTTCCAGGCTTTCTGCTGGGTATTGAGTGTAAGGGAATCATTTCCCCCTATGTTCTAAATGTTAAAATAGGAACTTCAGCCCCTTCAGAAACATTGGAGAGAACATCTGTCTTTCCTCCCACATTTGACTGGCTCCTCCTCATGCAAGAAGGGATTTATCTAACAGGTGAGATGTCAGCTTAACATCAGGGCAGGAGTAAGATATTAAAAGTCATTCTCCTATGAACTTAAACTCTTAAGATTTTGGCCAGCTGGTGAAGTGTCCTTAATGCAAACAGAATTTCCCCACCTATGGGCTCCTGGTCTGGCCTAGGGTAAGAGGGTGGTTTAAAAGCTCCTTTTGGATATGATAAACCAAGTATAGTAAAACGTTAATGATATGATTTAGGTGGTAGGTGTATGAATGTTCACTGTAAAATTCATCTTTGCTGTATATCTGAAAATTTTTCAGACCAAAAAGAAGCCCAAGCTGACCTTAAGTCCCAGCTACATTCTTCTACGGCATTTACCAGCAACAAAGCTGATGTTTTGGCTCTCCAATTCCTGATTTCTTAACTGGTTTGGAACCCACTAGGGGAACAAGACATCAAGATTAAGCAAACAAAATTCCTACCTTTGAATAACTGACACCTGGGGAAGACTGACAGGAAAATGGGAACTTGGAACAGAGAGAGCTAAGTGGTACAACATGAGAGAGGTCTGATCCATAAACAATACAGACCCATGGGCGCAGACGTGGTGGCAGAACAAGTCTCCAGCACAGGACCCACTCCTGAAGCACCTTCTGTCTCTTTACATTTCCCAACTGCCCCCAGCCTATGCACAGACCTAGGGGGATCAGTCCTTCAACATAATCTCCCATGATCAATAGCCATATCCTATATGTGCGATCATTATCGGGGCACTGAGTGACGTCTACTCAAGTCAAGGCCTCCACCCCAACCCCAAAACTCTCTGCAATTTCTCTCACTCATTTGCTGACTCCCCCACCTCCCTCCTCTTGCCTCATGAATGCCTTGCCATCATATCAGTCTGTGTGGATCTTTGACTGACTGTCTGTCTTGGGCAAGCTCCAAAGGGAAGGAAAAGAGAGTCCAAGTCTAACTAAAAGAGCATAAACATGTGGGGCTTCAGTCACCCTAGAGGGACCAGCACACATCTGAAAATAATAGGCAACGAGCTCCTTGAAAGTGAAGAAAGTTCTGAGGAATCAGGGGAGGGAAATGGGCCACAAATCCAGGGACAGGGAATGAGTCTATATCCGAGAATGAAATGGTGCTGTCAGGATCAATCCCATTTCTGTTGGCCCCTGTCCTTGAGGACTTAGGACAGGTCACTTGGTCTTTCCAGCCCAGCTCAAGCACCTCCTCCAGGAAGCCTTCTCTGACAGCCAGCCTGGAACTCACCCTACAGCTTATTAGTTATGCCCTGTGCCCCCATGGTACAGTGTGTCCCTTTAGCCCAGCACTGACCACACTGTGCTATTACCTCCTATCTCATGGCACCATCCCCAGCCGTAGCAGTTAAATCCTTAAAAGCAGGCACTTGGCCTATCTCTATACCTCCACTGCCCTTTACATCTGATATCTAGATAAACAATGATCTCCAACAGTCCTCTAAGCTGTAAAACACAAACCACTCTGGGATGGTTATCTACTCTTTTGGCTTGCCCAGGATCCCTTCCTCCTTCTGGGAACAGTTTTTTTTTTTTTTTTGCACAACCATCCCTCTCTCATGCTCAGTCCCTGTGGGCTAAGGAGAACTGACGATAGGCCCCAGCCTTCAGGAGAGGGCACTGACTCAGGCCAGGTCAATCGGAGCATCCCAGGCTCTAGCCACAGAAATTGGTACAGTGCCCTAGCCAAGTGAGACCCAATTCTGGAAAGAAAGAGAAACATTCGTTCTGCTGGAAGGATACAAGCCAGGAGCTGCTAATGGTCATCCTCCAGCCCATGAAAATAAGTTGACAGAGAGAAACGCAGAGCCAAGAGATGAGACAGAGATCTGATGCTACTGTCTGAGCCTCTGGGATCCAGCTGTGCCTGAAGCCAGTTACTGACCTCTGGGCTTTGCAGTTCTGAGCCAGTTTGAGTTTTATTTCTGTCACCATAATTTTGAAAGTCTCAATATATCTACCCTCCATGACTGCTGAGTATAACAGGCTCTTGACAGGGCAGCCAACCCTTTTCTGCACTTGTCAGGGAGAAGCAGCACCCATTGCCTGGGTCCCAATTCAGCAAGGGCCTTACCTGCACCAGGAGGTTCTGCAATCCGATGACCAGGGACAGGATTTGTGATGTTCCCAGTGGAGCTAGTACAGTGTCCCCAGGGACTGGTGGTGGCCGGGCCCCTGACGGCACTAGGGTCACCAGGGCAGAAGAAAAGCTTTGTTGCAGGGATGTCCGCAGGAAGCGTAAGACGGCAACTAAAAGCAAGAAACTCCTTATACCCAATTCTTGCCTCCTTCCCCACCCAGCTCTGTCAAAGAAAGAGGACAATGGAGATAACAACGGGGTGACCATAGGCTGGTCTGGGAGGGGTGGTCCCATCTCAGAATCTAGGAGGAAAACTTTTCTTTTCCTGTAAGAGGACACTAGGCCCATACCTGAGAGCAGGGCAGCTTTTTTCTTTGGAAAGCTGAGGAAGCTCAATACTTGGTCCAGTTCCACGGACAGTGTCTGGTGAACCTGACAGGGCAGTGGGTAAAGAGATGACTCCACATTCTGGGAACTTGGGCAGAAAAAAACCTGCCCCAGTATCTTTTCTACACCACCACCCCCACCCCAACACACATACACACCCTGCATCCACTAGAACAGAGATGGTCATACAGAGTCTTGAGGAAAACTAACCCCATACCTGGAGAATCCTTCTTCTCCTAAATCTCCCTAATCCTCAAGGACCCTTCTCCACCAGAGAGCCTTCCCTGGACTCATTTATGGTTGACTCTCCACCTAACATAGATCTGGACTCGGATGGCCCAGAATCAAAATCCTAGCTCTGCCACTTGCTGGCTGTATAGCTATGGGCAAGTCACTACACTGCACTTCTCTCACCTTGCTCCTTTCTTCATATAGGAAAGGGCATAATGCCATCTGCTTTCATTCCCTCTGGAGTTGTTGGAAAGAATAGCTGAGGATCAACCTTGGCAAATGTGTTCCTTTCCTTAATGTCAAAGCAATGTCCAAACTGAGAGGTTAGTTGGATGGTAGGTTCAAAGCTGTGAGTCTGCTCTATTCTCCTCATCTAGAACACAAGATGTCAGGAGGCAGGGACTACTTATCCTCTGCTTGAATCTAACACAGTCTGGCACAAAGCAGTTCGTCAAAAATGCTGTTGGCTACTGGAATCATCAGGTTCCAGGCAGAAGAACCAATCTGTGCAAAGATGTAGAAATACCATGCTAATATAAGACGTTAATAGAGGAGACTGAACAGGGGTTATATGGGAACTCTGTGCTATCTGCTCAGTTTTTCTGTAAATCTTAAACTGTCCTAAAAATAAAGGCTATTAAAAGTCTACCAATCAATCAAAAACAAAGTTACACAGATATGAAAGAGCACAGCTGACTGTGAGAAGAGGAAACACTTAGCCAGAGGGCACGGAGGGAGGTTGGAATGGCAGAAAGTAAGGCTGCAGAGGAGACAGGTAAAAAGGGTCTTGGCCACCAGGTGGAAAACAAAAAGGCAACTGAAGGAGTGTGGGCAGAGGGGACATACAGACAGAATGGCTGCAGGGACAGGATATGAAGAAGAGGGAGAAGCTAGAGGCCGCACGACTGTGAAGAGGCCACGTTAGTGATGGGGACAAATGATCAGGCCTGAGCTAGGGCAGTGGGGGTACTTGGAGTGGAGGTGGTTAGTAGGGAACTGGCTAGCTATGAGCTGACAGCCAGGGCAAAGCCAAGGACAAGGTGCAGGCTTCCACCCAAGCAGGTGACTGCAAGGTGGGCCCAACAGCCTCACACAGAAAAGCAGGAAAGGTGCCTGTCCCAAATCAACTCCCTAGGCAACAACCTATAGATATGCTATAGCATCAATCTGCCACCCTGGAGGCCAGACTTTAAAATTGACTTCACTTCTACACAAATGAGTGTGTGCCCACCACAAAGCCGGCACAGGACTGGGCACAGGACAAGGACACCCCAAAAGCTAAGAGATGGTTTCTGTCCACAAGGGCAGCCAGCCTTAGGGGAGAAGCACCTCAGTATGAAGCAGCTCAGAGAGGAGTCCATGTAGGGCATTGTGATGACAAGGCCCTATACAGGGGTGGGGCTAAGAGGAAAGGGAGTGCTCTGTGGCTATGTCTACTGCTCCCCTGTTCCCTGCATTACCTTGTGATCAGTCACAACGACAGCTTACACATCTATGGAATTTTCCAGTTTCCCACCACTGCTTCACACAGGCTGGCTTCTGCCTTCCTGTTCTGTCTGACAATCTGTGCCCGATATTCTAGCCACACAGTGCCTCACCACTCTCCAAACCTGGACACCATGTCCTCAATTCATGCAGCTTCATGCCTTTGCTTGTATTGTTCTCTTTTCCTGTAATGCCTGTGCCTATCTTTGCTTGGTACATTTACCTTTCAAGGCTTTGCTTAAAGACTATAATACAGGTTTCCCAGGTGTGGGGCACATGCCATATTCATTTTTTATTCCTCTGTGCCTAGAATACAGCCTGATACATAGGTAATCCATGTGTGCTAAATGGATTACCATAAACCAACCTGAGAATACTGGATGTTTTTTCCTCGTTTTGTAGTCAAGGAAACTGAAGCTCAGAGAGTTAAATACCTTGCCAAGATTATATACTTAATAAGCTGCAGAGCTGGGACCAGGACTCAGGATCTTATCACTCCTTAGTAAGCATCCCATCCCCAAAGCCACAGGGGTTAACCTGAGACTAACCTGCAAACTGCCATTGTGCTGCTGGGCAGAGAAGGAGGCAGTGAGCAGCCAGGCGGAGCAGAGGAGTGCAGTCCTGGGGGAACCCACCTCAGCCCAGGTGAGCGCCAGCATCTTTTCCAGAAGCTCTGTCAGGGCTGTGCTGCTCAGGAGAACTGCAGCAGCTATAGAAGGTCCAGTAGGGCAGGGGCCATGTGAGTCACACAGGAGCCCCAGCTCAGTGCCACCATGGTGGTTAGTTAGCACCTCATGGGGGTTTCATGCAAATATGGCAAATAAACAACAGGATCAGCTTGAAGATCTAACTGTCCCAACTACATTCTAGAAACACAAGTTATCAAAAAGGACATTATGACCATCTGGCCCAATCATATGTACCCTTATTTATTTTTTTAAGATGGAAAAACTGATGGTAGGAAGGGCCACAAACACTGTCCCACATCCTTTCTCTTCACTGATCCCAGCCTGGGCCCCAGTACCTCTTTTCTGACTGCTTGGCGTGGTTTGATGAAGGGTCCAATACAGGAAGTTGAAGGAGGGCTGCAGGATGTCCACGTCAGTGGGGCTGCACTTCCCACACAGCTTGCTCACTGTAAGAGATGAGAATCCCCACACATGCCATCTCCACATGTGCACCATCTCCCCAGGCATACCACTGTGCAGCACTCCATGGCTTAAACACACACCAGCACCCACACTTCCTGTACATAATGGCCCTCAACTGGCTAATTTCAGATGTTACTCTTTTCTTTAAATTTTGTTATCATTAATTTATAATTACATGCAGAACATTATGTTTACTAGACTCCCCCCTTCACCAAGTCACAATCCCCATTACAGTCACTGTCCATCAATGTAGTAAGATGTTGTAGAATCACTACTTGTCTCCTCT